ATAGAGAGAGGAAAAAGGATAGAGTGACGCGCCGCGGAAACTTCCGGTTGCAAAAGCGCCTGGAGATCTTTTTTAATACATATGATAGCATATCATACCATTTTAAAAAGAAAAATATTATCCTGTCACGCGAAAAGTTTTTTGCAGGAAGCATGTGAAACTCTTACCATGCAGATCGTTGGACCTTAAACTCCCCTATTTTCTCTCAGCGGTCATTTCTGCAGCAAGCTCTTTTGCAGGAAGCATGTGAAGAGAGAGAGAGAGAGAGAGAGAGAGAGAGAGAGAGAGAAGATTCGACGGTCAACCTGGAAATCCCTCATCCTGGGAAAGTCATGCTCCTCTTCAGCGTCTGGGACCGCGAAAAGCACGTGAGTAAAACCAGCCGATCCCGATGGGTGGCTGCCCAAAGAGGAAAGAATGGACTCGAAAAGACGAGTTGGGGAAAAAAGAAGAGAATTTGAAGAAGTTACTTTTTTGGACGACAGCTCCCATCATCCTCCCGCTGCTATCAACAGAGTAGCTGGGAGGTTTTTGAGACTCAACTGTCCACAGAATCTTCCAGCTGCGGACGGATGGATGGTCTTTAAAAAGGGATCACCTACACTTGCTTTTGGATTGCGTAAGGACAACACAACTGTGGTTTTTTTTATATCCCTTAAATAAAGCAGGATCTTAATATGAATCTGGAATTCTTGTCTCATTAAATTTACAAAACGAACTGCAGAGGGCTTTTTCCCCCACTTCAAATTTTTCGAAGGCCCGGAAGACGCTCTCAGGCAATAATGAACCTCGTCGGGCAAGAAGTATCCCCAGAAGTTGAGCCTGTGTGGCATTCTACAATTTTATCTCTACGATGCTTGCGTGATCCCGGAGGCGCTGAGCTGTCACGTGACCGAGGGACCCTTTCCTCCCCCGCCCCCTATTGGCTCCCTGCTATCGCCTTCGTCCTTGGGTGTCTTGTTCAGTCAGGGGTCCCCGTAAAGGTCAGCGGGCAGCTCCCTCAGGGCGAGGTGAGTGACCGGTCTCACGTCAAAACTTAGTATTTTCGATTTCTTTCCTTGTAAGAAGGAAATCTGGAATTGTGAAAAGAGACACGTCTTTGGATTGGGCCAGACACGTGTTTTATCATATTGGGAGTCATTTGAATTGCATGAATGTCGGGGACCCAATTTGTTGCGTGTGAAAACGGGTAGAAACGAAATCTACAGACCCACTCCCCGCACGAAACGGATTGGTGAATATATTCTCGAAGGCTTGGTGAATAACCTATTTTACGTGTAATTGTTTGCAGAAGGAAGAATGGTGTCCATCTGTTTCGACAGAAGGAGCAATATCTTGTAAAACCTTAAATGTTTACCCAAATGTATTATGGTTTAAGCTTTCCATACTACTTTACCTAGGCTTCATGCTCTGGAGAGGACACTTCTCGATACAGAGCATGTTACCATAGTCTCTCGAGACTGTAGGATGCCTGTGATGATGATGATGATAAGCTTTCCATGAAAACTTGTGCATTAATGAATGTTTTCTTCTTGAAACAAAGCACGCTTCCTTCTTTTTAGTAATCTTTTGGTTGCCCCAGCTGTGGACGATTTGTGCAAGTAGATACGGCAACAATTTTCAAAAGTTTTCCTCCATTGTCCTCCTCCGGTATTTTACCGATGGATACCTCGGAATGATGGTGTGAAACTTGCATTTCACCCAAGCAGGCTTGGATGCAACAACAGACTTTGTCAGATTATGGTCCTTTGGTCCTCAGAAGGCCAGAGGCAGGGGAAGGGTATCCGGAGACAGGGATCTTGTGTGCTCCCAAGAGGCATCTGGTGGGGCCACTGTGAGATACAGAAAGCTGGACGAGATGGGCCCTTGGCCTGATCCAGCAGGGCTCTTCTGATGTTTCTTATGGAATAAACAAAAAGTCCTGTGTCAGTTAAAGAAGAAATAATATATTAGGAGCTTTCCAAGGCAGGCCTTCATTTGGCAGTTTACGTACCTTTCTGCTCTTACATTTATGCCTTTCTGAGATAAAAAGCTCCCTTGTCTTTGCAGTTTGGTCTTTGTGGGGTTGATTCCATGTATTTTTATTTATTTATTTAATTATTGGATTTTTACCACTCCCATCTAGACCATGGCTACTCCATGGAATGAAGGAAGTCATTTTTGCTCTCAACCTCATCACTTAAGAAATTACTTAAGATGATAATTCAATGCAGGATCTGTCCATGCCCTACCTTCAGTGTCTCATCACTTCATATCTCATGCATAGTATTGAGGCTGCTGGAATGCCAAGTCCCTGCTCCCCCTGCCCATTACCCTGTTATGTCTCCTGTCTTATCTTAGAGAGGAGATCAGCTTCTATGAAAATGCTTTAAAGTCTTAGAGATTTCTCTCTCTCTCTCTCTTTCTTTTGTTTTCCATTGACTTGAATTCTAGGTTTTGTCTCCTCATCATGCCTGCAGGACTATCTTGGGGTCGTTACCTAACAATGCTGAGTGCAGCTCTGTTGACCATGCTTGCTGGTGCACAAGTTGTCCACCAATATTACAGGCCTGATCTTGTAAGTGGATTTTTTTCTGCTTGTTTTGAATATTCACATGGTAGCCATGTGTGGTGTTTACCCTGTGGCCCCTGCTTGTTTCACCAAACAACGAGCTCACCCGAGTATCCTTACGCTGCCACCAGTTGATCTCGTTATCAGCCTATAAGTCCTATGAAAGACTGAGGTCCATTCAGTACTGAACTTTTAAACAGAGATAGTTTATTGATTACAAGTTGTTTCAGGAATAATTCTGAAGCACATTCTTAAAGTTACACAAAGCTTCAGTATTTTACTTTAACCTTTTCTATCTTAATTAATGCAGGTCACACTCTGACTAATCACTCCTTAAACACTCTCTCTGCCTCAAACCACCAAACTCTTTCTTCTTCTCTGTCTCTGACTGAATTCCCTAGACTAGGACTCACCCCTCCCTTCTAGTTTCTCTGGCTCCGCCTCCCAACAGCTCTCATTGGTACATGCCAATAATCTTCTACCTGATACAAAGCAGGGTGATGGCTACACCGTGTTACCCTGTATGACCAGCCCCTACCCAGTCTTGTCATTTTTATGATAATATTCCTTTAAAGGGCTTGACTCCGTCCATTAACCATGCTAGACCAAGTGGTTAAAGAATGGGGGGGGGGGGAAGAGATTTTTTTTACAAAGTAACAACTTGTAGGGAAATAGATTTCAACATCAGATTTTCTTCAGTTACAACCCGCCTGCCCAGTCTTTTAATGGCCAAACTAATCTGATCTCTGTCTCCCCTCCCATTCCCATAGCTTTTCACTGTCCAAGGACAGAGAGTGACAAAGTTCACAGGCCTCGAGTGAACTGCTGAATAATTGGATTGTGTTTCCCAGATGGTTCGGCACTCCTTAGCCTCTTCTCTTCAGGACTCCTGATGGTCTTTACTATCCAAAAGTAGTAAATTAAGAACCTGGAAGAAAGCCCTATGAAATTAATAGGATTTATTTCTACAGATGTGCATGGAATTGCAACATAATGTATTTTTAACTCAATTCCTGTGTATAGGTATATTTTACATTTAAAAGCCTAATGTTGTTAAAGTGGCACAATAAACTTTTTAAAGTTTAGAATTGCTGTGTTTTCTGCTCTTATCACATATTTCACTTCAGAATAAGACTGGGCAGCTAATTCGAGCACAGCTTTTTTTGTAAATGTGTACCCCTGATTTCAAAGATTGGAGTTCATTGTTCTGGATGCAGTGTGATGGACAATTTTTTTCTTTTGTTTTGTTAGTCAATACCTGAAATTCCTCCCAAACCTGGAGAACTAAGAACAGAACTCTTGGGCCTCAAAGAAAGAAGTCAGAAAGCTCAGCCTTGACAGTGATGGAAGACAAGGAATCACCGCATCCTTCCAAAAATACACTTTTATTTATAATTGATTCTTTACAACTGGGCTATGGATTTTGATCATGTGTTATAAATCGTGGTTGATTTCTGAAGAGCATAGAACTTGCTGCCTTGGCTGTTAATAACATTTTATCTTTGGCTCACGTAGATTCCTGAGGCCAAAGTAATGAAGGGTGCCTTCACATGCAGCCTGTGCAATGGCTGCAATCTGTTGCATGTTTTAGAGTTGGAAAAGGATTTTTGTAAGTGGGTGCCATAAACACCTTGAACAAATTAGACATTGGTGGTAATTGCATTTTTCTGCAGATGATGGATTTCCCTGCCGTCATTCATGTTAGATATGACTGAAGATGTTCTCTGTGAGGTTGACCTTGAAGGTGTTCAGTCAATAGTGGATATGGAATGTAGAGCTTGGCAGTTGGGACACTACTGTTCTAGTTTCAATTTGCAGTTGGCAAGTTTTCAAACAAAAGTCAGTGTCTAGCTTTTACATAACCAAGGACTGCATTTCCTAGCCTGAGAGACAATTGGTCTGCTCCTTTTCATCTTTCCTAACTGGTACAACTACTGATGAGAGCTACAGTCCAGCACATCTGCAGAGCACCAGGATGGGGAAGTCACTTTTCTGAGTTTCCTGACATTAGCTCTAAAGGAACAATTCCTGCTACATATTCCATCCACTGACCTTGGAAGATGCAGAAAGGCACAGAGCAGCATCTTCCTTTATCTGCAACACAGTGAGAAAGCCTTTGGGAAGAGAGCTCGTTAAGAAGCTTGTAACCACTGAATGGGTAAAAAGCTGTGGGCATACAGCCAGGATCAGTCTCACAGAAATTCTACTAAAAGATCTATACAAGTATATTTTCAGAATGATTCTTAAAATTGGTGAAAGCTTCAAAAATGTTCTATTTGAATTTTGCTCTTTATTTTCAGTTACTTGTAACAAATGACAATTTTATGAATGTAATTTGCTTTGAACCTCTCAAATGGAAAGGGAAATATATAATGTATACTTCCACGTGTACTCTACTGTAACCTACAGAGTAAATTAATTCAGCAAAGGTGTGTTGTGAGCGAAGTGATCCTGCATCCCTTTGATCCCTGCTTTCCACCCTCTTGGTAAGCCCCGGGCTTAGGAAGTGGCAGGGAAAGCAGCAAATTTTCTAATTTGGGGTTAGAAAAGTGGGGGGTCATCTTATACATTGGGGAATCTTATAAATGGAAAAATATACCATTGCTAAGTTACTCCTGTGTAGGTTACAGTTGAGTACAAGTGACAGTAACTTAATAGCCCAGAAACCTGTCATACAGCAATCTTAGCTGGATTATGTATTAGAAGACAATTAAAATCTTCAAGTTTATACTACAGAAGAGTTTCATTTTATTCTGAAGCATTATGAGATTAATAAGGAGCCAATGGAGAGGATACTTGCATCCCCACCCAAAATTTGCTTGATGATTGCATACAAATCTGATATGCTTAATTGTCCAGTGTTTGGCAACACAAGGGAGACCTTTGGGCTGAGACAACACTATTCACAAGTCACCCTTATCTGAACCTAAAAGGCAATCTATAAAACATGGATAAAATTTTTCCTTTGTGTATGTGGCTCACCAAGATTTGCAAGGAAGATTATGACTTTTTGGCACTTATTTGTGTAAAACATATGCCTGGTATAAGATCTGGAATTAGGTACTGTATCAAGAAACTGCATCCTTTTAAATTCACAAAATAGGTCTACATCTTCCTGTTTTCAAACAGCAGAAAAAAGTATAGTAGTACCTCAACTTACAAACTTAATCCATATTGGAACGGCGTTCGTATGCCGAAAAGTTTGTAAATTGAGGCAAGATTTCCCATAGGAATGCACTGAAAACCATTTAATCTGTTCAGGCTGTTTTTCATTCGTATGTCAAGGCATTAGTTCTCATAGGAACTAATGCAAAGCTGGTTAATCTGTATCTACTGCTAGGGGGAATTTTTTTTTTATTTTTTCTTCTTTTGACCTAAGATGAACTTGAGTCAAAAAAGGGGCAGGAAAGGTTGTTTTCCATTTGTAAGTCGAGGCTCTGTTCGTAACGCAAAATCTTTGCAAGTGGAGACATAAGTCGGGGTACCAGTGTACAATGGTCTTCCAGTTTAACTTTGACAAAAGCTTATTAGAAAAATTTCTAGAGTAAATTACTATTGAATGAATGGGACTTTTAAGTCAGCACTTACACCTCTCTCCCTCAGTGGGCCTAGTGTAGCCGAGAGAAAGTGTTACCCAGAATTCCAAGTGAGATTTGAAGTTGATCTAGGAGGACAGAACTAAAGCAAATCTTGTTCAGTTGCAGTCACATTTTATTTCTTTGTAAACCAGTGCAGCAAGATGTTACCCTGCATGCAGGTGTGATCAATTCCTGGAAAAGCACTATACAACAAAGAAACTGTAAAACCAAATAGCAAGTATGGTGTTTTGTGGTTGCAGAACAGTGTTAAGTTGCTACTTTCCTTATGGGTGAAGTTGTTAATTACTTCATAGAAATGAAATGTTGAGTGCCATTTCAGGACAATAGTCAGAAACATCAGCCTGTGTGCACACATTCTATCACTTTTGCCACCTATAACAGTATAAAGAGAAACTGATGGCATTAAGTCATCATCAGGATTCAGTATACAGTAGTTGTACTTCTGCTAAATCCAAATGGTGTCTAATGGGGCTCTCCTCACATGCAGAGAGCTTGAAGAACCAATTCAATATGGAGTTGTATTCTGTGAGCCATGGAACTTCAGCAAGGAATACAACATTCACTAATTCAAAAAGGCCGGTCTAAGAGGCAGAAGGTAGAAGATGCTTCCCATAGAAAAACAGAGCGTAAAACATTTAACAGCTTTCCAAACTAATCTTTCACGATAGCTCTTAGCCTAGGAGTGTTGCTTCCTACACAAGCAAACAATTGTTTACTTTCCTGGCAGGTAAATAACTACTTCGATATCCATACAAATGGTGTGAACATTTTAATTTTGTACACATGACAAGATTTTACACCAAGTAGTCAGTTAAATAGTACAAATTTACATTGTGAGGAATGTTTAAAAAATGCAACTTAAAAAAATCCTCTTCTGCCCATAACCCTATGCCTCCCCCAACATTTTACAGTGAAAAAAAACACAAATTTAGTCCACATTCCTGCTTCATTCCAGACACAGGATACTATTTGTGAGAGTGTTTTTACAATTCATCTTTTGTATCTGTAGGCTCCTGCAAAAGAAAAAAAAAGTAGATGTTTCAGGACAGTAGCACTTCATATCTAGAAAGTAATGCTGGGCAGGACTCCCAGTACAGTGTTGTTTCTGGGCCTGCTGCTAACTAATCTCTATTTACCTATTGCTCATGACTCCTTGTGCCACAACTATAGTTCAATTTGAGGGATGCAACTGGAAGGAGCCAAATAAACAAAGTCAAAAGGCTTACTTTCTACCATCAGTATACTATCTTAACCAGTGTCAATATTAGGGTTTTGGCTTCTTTTGAAGAGGATATAGCACTAGAGTATACATCTTGTAAAGTAACAAAAATGTTAGTGTTCATGTAATCCGAGTTCTATTTAAGCTTTCTTGTTTATTTGCATACATGACTAATATTCCACCATTAGTGTCAGCTACTGTTTGTAGGTGAAATGAAGGTTCCTGCAACATAAAACTAGATCCCCTCAAGACCCTCAAAATTGCATTTGACTCACATGTTGGAAAGGGTTCGTAGTTTATTCAAAGCTGCATATACAGTACAGGATTTAATACTTATACTCTGCTTTTCCAACCCACTTGACCTGTGGTAACAGGCTGGCTGACCCTGTTCCCCCACTGTTCTGAAGTCTAACTGGCACCAACCTTTTTCTCTGTTTCACTGTCTTCAGCATCTTCTTCAGCATCTACTTCCTCCTCTTGCTCTGCTTCTTCAGCAGCCTCTTCTGGTTCTTCAGGCTCTTCTTCCACCTTTTCAGAGAGAGTTTTGTTTAGCAGGCAGGCAAAGACTTCCATGCCAAGCTAGCCTGTTGTTGCAGAGGAGACAGTGCCATCTCTACCTCATGTGAAATCAATTCCATTCTAGGTTACTGCCTGGATGGCTTCATCCGCCCATCTTTTGCTCTTGCAAGTTTTGCACCATCTTAACCTGATTTATACTTCTAGAAAATTCAAAGGATTGTTTTGTTTGCAGTTTGTTAGTGATCCAAGAAAGGTAATAACCAGCCAAAAAAAAAACACCTCATAAATGTTTAAATTACATGGCTAGCTCTCAATTCAGCAATATAACTGGCCAGAGATTTAGCCTTCTATTTTCAACTGTATTTTTAAGTAACAACAGTTCAATATTTTAAAGGCTTGTATATACAGCATTTTGCTAGTCTAACTGCATTTGGCCAGATTACAGTGGACCCTCAACTTAGACGGCTTGACTTTTCGAGTTACAGACTTCTCTGGTTGCAAAATTTAGGTTTAACTTGCAGCCAGAGAATCGACCTACAGATCAGAAAAAACCAAAATGGAACAAAAACGGCCGGTTACAGGATTAATCGGTTTTTAATGCATTGTAGGTCTATGGAGACTCGACCTATAGACTTTTTGACCTGCAGCCACCGTTCCACTATGGATTAATTCCGTAAGTAGAGGGTCCACTGTAACATGTTCCAATGATACCTAAACTCTGCTACAGTCAAGTTCCTTTAAAATACTATATACCAGAGAACTTTTAGAATTAAGAGTTAAAATAGAGAGAAAATTATTAGTTTGAGTTCTTCCATCACCACTGTTTACCTACTCTTTTTACCAACCTTTTCCTCTGGGTCAATGTTCAGACTCAAACGAAGCATTCTTTCTATCCTTTCTCCATATTCTTTTGTATCTGGTAGTAAATACCCTGACCTAAGGGTAGCAGTCTCAAATAAAACCACAGCAAGATCTGCAACTGTTTGGTCATCTTCATTTTCCTGAATGGAAAAAAATTCTCATGTTAAAACAACAAAAAAGGGAATATTAAGGAGTTCTCAGGCTTCTACTGGACTGATATCCTGGCAGTCAAATAAGATTGTATCACTTAGTTACTCCACCATTTGGTTTCATGTGAGAAATATAATTTAACAGAAGTTAAAATGTTACTATCTGAAGCCTAGAACATGACTCCAGGACAAATTGAAAATTACTTACCTGAACACGCCTGAGCATGTCTTTTATGACAGGATGTCTAGGATTGATTTCAAATGTCTTCTTTTGACTTGCATAATAACTGAAGGAGAGAAATATTTAAGGATCTGTTAAGGCTATTTTCATTTCAGTTTTCTTAGGCAAAGTCAATTTTGCAGTTGGCAAAACAAGGTATTTTAAAATATACCTCATGTGCATGTTTGGTCAATGACAATTACCCCAAGTTCAGCAAAGGAAGCTGCACAGGATCATAACCCTGAACTCATCTGCTCATCTGTGACTACAGAAGATAAGCAGTTGGGCTTGATTAGTAACTAGATTAGAGAAGCCCCAGAAATGTCCAGGTAGGACTAGGAAGGAATCCTGTATGAAGCCCTGCAAAGTCATTGCTGCCAATCAGCTGACAATACAGGGCTCAATGGACCAATGGTATGATGTAGTCTTATGTGGCTTCCTATGTGGGTTGCAGCCCTGATGTTCAGCTTCCAGACCATCTTCTCCTATGCAAGACACTGTTGGCTAAACCAGTGGTTTTTAACCGTGTTCTCGGACTGCAAATCCCAGAAGCCCCAACCAGCATAGCTGGTGGTGAAGGCTTCTGGGAATTGCAGTCCAAGAACACCTGGGTTACCCAAGGGTTAAGAACCACTGGGCTAAACAAGTCTCCTTCCCCACCCTGTTCAATCTCAATTTGCTGGACACAGAGAGCCTCCAGAGCCAAGTTTAATGGTTGCAGCCCTTCCGGGGGCAGGGGGGGGGGAAGACTGGTGAAGTGCCACTAAAAGAATCCAGTAGTGAAGTCAAAATATCAGAAGTCACAAGTTATTGAATTTAAATTTTTATTCATCTGTTTTGAGTATATCTGAGAATTATGGC